TTTTTTCCCCCTTATAGCTAGAAATAGTTTTGTAAAGTACTATGAGAATCTCATTATTCCCTATCATTTTTAACTATATATGTATTATTTATTTATGTCTAGAACTCGATTATTTAATAAGTATGTCAATTAATTGAATATCTTTAGAAAATTCACTAGTACGCATATCAAATCATATTTAAGTACTATACTAGTGCTTTGCTATTGCCACCACAATCAAATTTAACTGATTGTAATCATGACAAATTTGATATACAATCATGCAAAGATTATAAAAGTGTATCCCTATCTCCTACCCAAGTTAATAATTTTTATTAATTAGTTCTAAACATTCCAAACAGTAAATCACCTCCCAGTTTCATTATATTTCACAATTCAATCATTTATTGGAAAATTAGAATAAAGCAAAAATTAATAATAATAAAAAATAAAAAAAAAATTATAGATGATGTGCAAAGTCGATCCCTAAAAGTTGGTTAAACTCTAAGATAAGATATTTCTACGCTTTTATGACCATGTCAAAAATTACAATCTTCATGATTCTCTCTCGATTTCTCTGTATCTCTTTTTCACATCTTCACTAATTCTCATTGTTGAAAATTTGTTCCATTACGTCTTTCATCATTTTGGTACCAAAACTTAACAGTTCCCCTCAACCAATCACCACCATTCTCTATACCCACTGCCACCACCTTCAATAACCAGAGCTTATCAAAATTTCTCGTTGTGAAATTAATTCTTGCATCATCAGAATATTAAAAAATATATATATTTAACTTAGTCCTCCGAAAAAGGGTATTTCTATGGTTAATATTAATAATTGGAGATAAGTCGTCAGTCGAACAAGAATGGAATATAAAGACAACTCGTCAGTCGGACAATGATTCGTTATTGTATTACGCATTTGGGAACTAAAACCATCGATAAGCCTACAAAATTGACCTGACTGCAAAATTTGACCCAGACAAGAGTTTATTTTCCCACTCAACTTTTGCTTGATTTTAGCTTCGACTCAATTAAGTCCACGCAAATCCATGTGCATCTCTTATGTTTTTATGTAATAATTTCATTTCAAAATCGATAATTACTAATAAATTTTGCTGGAGAATTGATTACATTTTTTGTGCAATGGACAGTGGACCAATGCGAAGTAAATATCCGTCATTCTGCCCTTATTTCTATACCTAACATTTCCTCTACACAGAGAAATGGTTTTCTACAATTCAAGAAAACATTTGGTTTTCTACAATTCAAGAAAACATCTGGTAGCAATTATTCTGGTCATAATCGTGGTCGGAACTTCGCTGGAATGGGTTTTGGGTCAAAATTGCGGCTGTCCTCCGAACTTCTGCTGCAGCCAATATGGTTACTGTGGCACTAGGTGCAAGGCCGGCTATTGATGGTTGATGCATATTTTATGAATTTCTAGAAGATTCTAGAATTGCTTGACAAGAATATCCTATAATTGCTTGGCAAGCAAGAATAATAAAAAATCAGAATTATCTAGAATTCACTAAAGAAACTTGGGCAACAAGAAAGTTTCTGTGGTTGGTAGGCACATGTAGAATTATCTACAAGAAATCATATGTAAGTTATGATATATAAATAGGGCATAAGTCTCTCATTTGTATGTAAGCAAAAGTCATTGTCATTCTAATTAATTTCCTTTGTCCTACCCACTTTGTCTACTACATCACTTTCTATCAAAATCTTTCATACTACTAACTTCCAACAAAAAAAAGCCAACTATTTTTTACCTCCAAAATTATCTCATACGAAACATTCTAAACCATCTAATTTAATCTTATCACTACAAGAAAAATCATCAGTGCTATCAGAGCCAGGTTCGATTGATATTGGGCGTAATAAGATATTATGGCAGACGCTTTCCGTTCATCCATACCTAATCCAACATTTAATGGAGACAACTATGACTTTTGGTCCATCAAGATGAAGACCTACTTTTGTGCGCAAAATTTATGGGATGTCGTCAATGATGGGTATATTAACCCAGATGACATTTCCACTCTATCTACCGCACAAAAGAAGGAAATTAAAGAGAATCAACAAAAAGATTCTCTAGCACTACTTGCTCTACAAATGAGCTTGACGGGCACTTATTTTACAAGAATCATGGGAGCCAAAACTGCAAAAGAAGCTTGGGATAAATTGAAGGAGGAGTTTCACAACAGCGACGAGGTACATACTTATCGTCTTCAAACTTTAAGAAGGAATTTTGAAAATTTAAAAATGAAATATTTTGAAACCACGAAAGATTATTATTCAAGACTAAATGAAATAGTAAAACAATTAATAACTTATGGAGAAGATGTTCCTCAAAAGAAAGTCGTTGAAAATTTTTTAATTACTTGCACAGAAAAATATGATCCAATTATTGCAACTATTGAGGATTCAAAAGATATAGATAAGTTAACAGCTGCAGAATTAATGGGTTCACTAGAAGTACATGAAAAAAGATTAGAAAGGCGTTATGAGATTCACACGAAAAACGTATTCCAATCTAAAGTTAATATGCGGTTTCAGAAATTTAAAGAAGGTGGGAGAAAATTTAAAGAAAATTGTAAAAATGAAGAAACTCAAGGAAAAGAATTTGATAAAAGTAGCAAGTATCCTTCATGTGGTATATGTAAAAGAAAAAGTCATTTTTCATGTGGTATATGTAAAAGAAAAAGTCATTTGGAGAATGACTGATGGTTTAAAGGAAAATCACAGTGCCGTCATTGTAAATAATTTGGTCACGACGAAAAATTTTGTCGTTCTAAACAAAATCATCAAACTAATTTCTCTGAAGAAAATGATACAGAAGGAAGTTTATTTTATGCCACTAGTAAAGAAGCATTTGATGACAAACTGGATACATAGTATTTAGACAGTGGCTGTAAAAATCATATGATGAAAGACGAAAGTATTTTCTGTAGTCTTGATAAAATTAAGGCAAAAATCAAGATCGGCAATGAAAATTTTATAGAGGCAATTGGTAAAGGTACTATTGTTGTTAACACAAAAAAGGGGCAAGAGATACACCAATAAAGTTCTCTTAGTCCCTATAATAGATCAAAATCTATTAAGTGTAGGTCAGGTGATGGAGAAATGATATACATTACATTTTGAAGGAGATTCTTGCACGATTTATGATAAGAAAGATAAATATCTTGTAATTGCAAAAGTCAAAAAGTGGGAGAACAGATGCTTTCCAATCCAATGGAGATATACAACAATGCCGAAATGATGGCACAAGTAGATGAGTCATGGCAGTGGCACAAAAGATTTGGACATTTCCACTTCCACGAATTGAAGATCCTACAGCAAACGAGCATGATGAGAGACTTACCAGTCATTAAAGAAATAGATGCATTTCGCGAACGATGTTTGCTTGGGAAACAATACCGCCAACCATTTTCGTCCAAAAAATCTTGGAGAGCTAAAAAGCCATTAGAGCTGACACATATAGAAATATGCAGTCCAATACGTACTCCATCACACGAGCAAAATAGATACTTCATTTTCTTCATTGATGACTACAGTAGAATGACATGGGTATATATCTTACGTGAAAATCCTAAGTATTTGAGATTTTTAAAAGGTTCAAAAGCTATGTTAAAAAGCAAAGTGATTGCAATATCAAAATTATCAGAAGTGATAGAGGCAAAGAATATGCATCAAATGAATTCAACAAGTTTTGTGAAGATGAAGGACTGGAGCATCAACTCACAGTTGGATACGCGCTTGAACAAAATGGCGTGTCAAAAAGAAAGAATGGGACAATGATTGAGATAGTTAGAGCTATGCTAATGGAGAAAAGCCTTCCAAAAACTTTCTGGGCAGAAGCAGTAAGCACTGCAGTCTACCTACTAAATTGATGTCCGACTAAAGCTGTGTAAGACAAAACACCAGTGAAAGCATGGAGCGGACGAAAACCATCAACAAAGCATCTCAGAGTTTTTGACAGCATTTGCTACACACACATTCCACAGGAGAAAAGAAGTAAGCTAGATAAGAAAACAGAAAAAATCAATCATTTTAGGTTATAGTACTCAATCAAAAGGCTACCGAGTATATAACCTAAGAACAAAGAAGCTGATTATAAGTTAAGATGTTAAGTTTGATGAAGATGTCACCTATAACTGGGAGACTGGTCAAGTCGAGAAAAAAACTATCAGCATCCTTACACAACCACAAAACCAAGAGGGTGATGTTGATGAGAATAATCAACCAGAGTCCCCACAGCAAGCAACAATAGAAAAACCAGTTGACTCACCAGAATTGTCACCAAGAAAGACACGAAGATTATTAAAATATATCAAAGCTACAACTTGATGATCATTGAACCTAAAAGCTATGAAGCAGCTTCAAAACAACAAGAATGGAGAAATGCTATCGATGAAGAAATAAAAATGATCGTTGGGAACTTGTAGATCTTCCTCAAGACAAAGAAGTCATAGGAGTTAAGTGGGTCTACAAGGCAAAGCTCAATACTGATCGCTCAATCCAAAAACATAAAGCAAGGCTAGTTGCCAAAGGATACTCACAATATTTTGGCATTGACTACACTGAGACATTTGCTCCAGTTGCACGTCTTGACACACTATAAGGGCGTTGATTACGCTAGCTGCATAGAAAAAGTGGAAGATTTACCAGCTAGACGTCAAATCATCATTTCTTAATGGCTATCTTGAAGAAGAAATGTATATAGAGCAACCTCAATGGTACATGGTATGAGGAAAAGAAGATAAAGTTCTTAAACTAAAGAAGGCCCTATACGAATTAAAACAAGCTCCACGAATGTATAGCAGAATAGACAATTACTTCACTGAGCAAGGATTCAGGAGGAGCCAAAGTGAACTAACTCTATACATCAAAAATCAAGGTACAAGTAGTACACTTATAATCTCTTTATATGTTAATGATTTCATTTATACTGGAAATGATGAGAAGATGATCGAGAAATTTAAGGAATATATGATGAAAACGTTCCAGATGATTGATCTGGGATTAATGCACTATTTTCTTGGGATCAAGACGGCTCAATTTGAAGATGGGATCTTCATTGCTCAGAAGAAGTATACCACTAGTCTATTAAAGATGTTCAAGATGAAGGTTGCAAAACGGTATCAACACCTCAGGCTAGCAACAAATCACTTAGAAAAGAAGATAGTACTCCAAAAGCAGGCAGTTCACAATTTCAAAGCTTAATTAGAAATTTACTCTATCTCGCAACTACAAAGCCAAACATAATGTATGCAACCAGCCTACTTTCAACATTCATGCAAAATCCAAGTCAAGTTCACTATGGAGTCATGAAGCAGATACTAAGAGACCTCCAAGGAACAAAAGACTATGGAATAAGGTATTAGTCTACGCCTAACTCAAGACCACTTGGGTATTGATGAGTGATATTTCACTCTTCATATCAATGTCATTAAGCTTATTATTTAGCTGATTCTCACGTATTTTAGAAGTGCTAACATGTGATTTTCTTGCTATTGTGAAGGATGGATAAAGTGGAGAAAACAAGGGCTAAAAGAGGCCACATGAAGGAAAGAGGCAAAAGTTGGCGAAATTGGATGAAAGGACCAAAATGTAAGAGATCCAAAGTTCGAGGACTAAAGTGCACATAATCAAAAGTTGTGTTGAAACTTGCAATGAAGATCTGAGAGTTCTAGGAGTCAATTGGATGAAGAAAGGTGTTAAAGGGATCAAATTTAATCAAGATATGATCATAAATCATTTTCCAACCGAAAAGTTTTGCACCGAGTTTTTAGCCTCATATTGAGACCCATTTTTGACATAGCAAACGATCGAATTGGAGAATAATATCTGAATCAAAGTTGTATCCTTTTGAGTTACCTTTCCAAAGCATCTTGAATCGTCTCAATCGGATATCGAGAGAAAGAATTATGATAAAAATATTGAAAGCTGTGCAATGCAATCGAAGTGGTCATGAGGGATAGCGCCTAGGCGCCATGATGCTGAAATTTTGACAGAAAGTCAGCGCCCAGGCACCCAAATCGCAGCACCCAAGCACCACATTGTGAGGAAATAATTTCACTATTTTTGGATTTCTTTCTTGGCCCATTCCAACCCAAAATCGTCCAACACTTGAGGAGATTATAAATACTACCTAAAAGATCTAATTAAGAGGGGAAGAACGAGCGAGAGAAATAGAGAAAATCTGGGAATGGGGCAGCCGACAGAAAAACAAAGCTTGAATTGGGGATGCTTTTTGGCCGGTAAAGATAGAATTAAAAAGGGAGAAAATTAAAGGGGAAGAAGCAGTCGACAAGAACGCGAAATGAAGAGGAGAAGAAACTGGAAGCAGCCGGGTCAAATACAATTTTTGGAGGAGACTTGGGACATTCCAGTCGACCCGCAGGAGACAACTTCAAGTGGACTGCTGGGGAAGCTCAGAAAACAAGACATTAATTGGGAACAAAATTGGTAACCAATTGGAGAAAAATTCTACCCCATTCTTCCTATGTTTATGCCTTTTAATTTACTTATGTCAATCTTCTCAATTATGAACTAAAAAATTATTTTAGGGATGATGTAGCCTACTTGAGACATGTTTGGATTCCGTTATAATTATTTCCATTGATCTTTCCTTTTTATTTATTTATGTTGTTTGTGCGCAATGCTTTCAATTAACTGGCCACTAATTAACTGATTTGATGTTCTAAAATTTGGCCCTCGAAAGAGGCAAATTTAGGCGTGATCTAAGACAACATAACCTAGATTTCGTAGATTTCGAGAGAAAGTGCAAATCTTTGAGGCTTGTTTTAATTAAGAATCACGTGCTTGATAATTTTTATATTTTTAATTCGGAATAGAGATATTGGAATTAATATATAAAAATAGATTTTATTTGGCGCTCGAGAGAGGGAAATAGAATCACTTTAGCGTTCTTGCCTATAAATTTTGAAAAGATTGATAGAAATAGTTATACGGATGAAAAATATTGTTGATGGTACGGCTAAATCATTCCCTAGGCATTCGTAATTTGATTAGAAACTTCATAATTTGCCCTCGTTTACTTGTATCGTTCATCCTATTTAATTTTAATTTAGCATAAAAACATTGACTCAAAATTTGATCGTCTAAATAAAGGGAAAGCCAAAATAATTATAGTACTCAATTGATTCGAATATCAATCCCTGTGGGTTCGACATCCTAACTTCGTTACTATATTACAAAACTTGATATCGTACACTTGCGGTTTAAAAATCACATCGCATAAATCGCGCGGCAAGTTTTTGGCGCCGTTGCTGGGGATTGATTCATTCGAATTCAATTGATGTTATTACCAATCGGCGTTCATTTTACTTTAGATTTTTATTTCTATCGTAATTTGTTTTATTTTATTATTTTTGTGTCTATCTTTAAGTGCTTCCTTGTGGTTATTTTCAGCTGTTTATGCGAATGGTGAGAAATCTAGACCTACTACCTACTGATCCTGAATCAGAACGCACATTTTTCATTCTCAGAGGCATACAAAGAAACGAACAAGAAGCAATGGCAGAATAGGATGCTAGAGTAGCCAATGATGATAACCAACAAAGGGCTATTCGGGACTACATAAGGCTGGTTGTCAATGACAACTATTCTGGCATCGCACGTCCAGCAATTGTTGCAAACAATTTCGAATTGAAGCCAGGGTTGTTACATATAGTGCAGCAAAATCAGTTTGGGGTGCTGCAACAGAAGACCCAAATGCTCATCTTGGATCTTTTTTGGAACTTTACGACACGGTGAAAATGAATGGGGTCACTGAAAATGCAATTAGACTTCGCATGTTCTCTTTCTCTTTGAGGGATAAATCAAAGGTCTGGTTCCAGTCACTACCATATGGCTCAACCACAACTTGGGAGGATATGGCTTAAAGATTCCTCACCAAATACTTTCCACCTTCTAAATTAGCTCAACTTCGAAGTGAGATCAACCAATTCAGACAATTCAACTTCGAGCCATTTTATGAAGCCAGGGAAAAGTTTAAAGACTTGCTTAGGAGATGCCCTCAACATGGTTTTCAGAAACAGGTGCTGATCGAAACCTTCTATTATGGGTTAAATGGGCTAACAAGAACAATGATAGATGCAGCTGCAAGAGGCATTTTAATGGCTAAAACAGAAGAGGATGCATATGCCTTATTAGATGACATAGCCACAAACAGTTGCCAATGGCCAAGTGAGAGATCGAGCGTAAAGAAAGTAGTAGGACTTCATGAAGTGGATCCCATCACAGCACTAGCAGCTCAGGTTACATCACTCACGAATCAGATAGTCACGCTTACTACTCAAGGAAATCAACAGAAGGCAGATTTAGTCATGAGTGCTTTTTCATCACACCATGAAGTAGAGGTTGCAAACGAGTAGGCTCAATATGTAAACAACAAAAACTACAATCAAAGAGGAAATTACCAGGCTAATCACTATCATCCAGGACTGAGAAATCATGAGAACTTATCATATGGCAACAATAGAGACACACCTCAACCTCCACCTGGATTCAACACTCAGAATTCTAAAGGGAAACTATCATTGGAAGACATACTTGGGACATTCATCTCTGAAANATCACGTGGAAATTAGGTTACCAAAGGAGTTTCAATCGTATAAGGAAACTGCAAAACGGCCCCCAGATTATACCTATGCGACCACATAGGCATAACCTATGTTGTCGGATAGAGTAAACAAAATTTGAGAAAAAGTTCTTGGGAGGATTCTATGCGACCGCATAGAGTTTATACTATGCGACCGCATAGGCATACATTCTTTCCGCCGGACAGTTTTTAGTATTTTGGTCATAACTTTCTCGTCCTATCTCCAATTGAAATGATTCAAAGTGCATTGAGAAGAAAACTCAAAGATATACATTTTTGATAGAAATAGACTTCCTCAAATTCTGATGTTTACTATGCTAAAAATAGATCTCAAATAGATACTAAAAATCACAAGCATAGCTTTTTCGCCTGAAAGTTGATACTTGATAATACTTCGACCCTATTTCACCTTGTGACTCCTTTCCTCATCTGATTGACTTCTAACACTCTTGAATCTTCATTCCATTTCCCGTCTCATCTATGAATTATTTACAACTTGGTCCCCGAACTTTTAGTTTAATTCATTTTAGTCCTTTTTCGGCTCTCTTCTCCTGAATTCCACTATTTCCATAGAAACACCTACATTGCATGAATTCAATGAGATTAAGTTACAATTCAATCATTTTGCTTATATTTAAGTCATGTTTGTGATCTAAATAAGTGTGCAAAAATACACTTATCAAGTGGCAAATAAGTTGGAGAAAGTGAACCCACAGAAGGG